GAGATACCTCTCCGACAATCGGAGTGACAAATCCTAATCTCAAAATACGCCAACCCAACATGTACCTTTGGAGACACCTGTAGAGTACCTTTATAACCACCCAGTTACGTTGTGACGTTTGGTAGTACACAAAGTGTTCCTCCGGCAAACGGGAGTTGCATAATCTCATAGTCATAGGAACATGTATAAGTCATGAAGAAAGCAATAGCAACATACTAAACGATCGGGTGCTAAGCTAATGGAATGGGTCATGTCAATCATATCATTCACCTAATGATGTGATCCCGTTAATCAAATAACAACTCTTTTGTTTATGGTTAGGAAACATAACCATCTTCGATTAACGAGCTAGTCAAGTAGAGGCATACTAGTGACACTCTGTTTGTCTATGTATTCACACATGTATTATGTTTCCGGTTAATACAATTCTAGCATGAATAATAAACATTTATCATGATATAAGGAAATAAATAATAACTTTATTATTGCCTCTAGGGCATATTTCCTTCAGTAGATAGCAATGGCACATCATGACTCTCCCAACACAATATTCAGCAATAGCATGCGGTACGAGGTAATCATGACAATAGCAACAAGGATCTCCACCAAGCGTGAAAATACACTAGTGGAGCATGGGTAAATGCAAATAAGGGTCACAATTGCATGGCAAAGGCATGAAAGAGGCATAACATGCAAAGTGAACATGGTAAAATGGGCATAAGGTGACAAGTGATATATAGCCCATAGATGTGTAAGAGCCAAGAAGAAGATACGAGCGTATTCCTTGCGCGAGGGAATCCCAAAGCATCATTGCTCTCAAGAGCTTGTTTCTTCAACTCATGGGATTGTGAAGTTGACGAGTATGCATAAGTACCTACACAAAACAAAGGCAAAGGAAAAATTACGTGTGTGTGTGTGGTATATGTACACATCATCCATTATGATGCATACGTGCACATGTTGGTTAGCACAAATTATGCAATGCTCAAATAAATGAGATGCATGACATAGAAACATGTCATCCATCACGAAAGGTTTGTTGCTATGTATAGCATAATGGATACTCAAAGTGTGTAATGCATCACTCACAATATCTCGAGCATTGTCATGAATGGTATGCATATCGTGCACACAATGGATGCATTCATGCAATCTATAACCAATCTCATGGCATGGAATTTGGAATTTATCACCATATTCATGTGTAGCAATTTTATTCATTGGATGATGCACACAATGTATGGAATCATGCGATGCACAGTCATTTCTATGGCATAGCATACGGGATGAATTGCACAAATTTTGCAAAGGGAGTTTAGCAATATCATCGTAAGAGAAGAAAATACCAATAACCAGGATCTCGTCATCTATGACATAAGTGCAAATGAGATTTATTTTAATTGGTTATGCATAGTTACTATGTTGAGTTTGTAATGATGCAATAGGGGAAATCCCACTCATAGCATATGACAAATTTAGCAGGTTGTCGAACATGATGTGACCAATAGAATTTTCTCATGATATCCTATGGGACATAGCATCACAAGTAGGAAATTTGACATGCTCGTCATCATAATCATCATAAATGGGTGGCACATCTAAGCATGTAGAAGATATAGTATGTGGTGAATCCATAAGGTGATCAACATCATGCAATCAATCATTTTCAAGATAGTCCACTAGGGGTACAAGCGAAGTACCATCACTTATGTTACCTTTAGAGCTCCGCTCATGTGTTGTAGGTGAGGTTGCAAAAATTGACACTTGGTCAATATCTTCGCCG